GGATCATGACCTGAGCCGAAGGCAGACGCTTAACCAACTGAGCCACCCAGGCGCCCGAATTCTTGCCGTTTTAAACTCGCTCTTAAAAGTTAGTCTGTCCTTTTGCTCTTTATCTGCCCCTTATCGTGGTCACATGCAGCTAATCGAAACGTTCGGCTCCCTAAGGTAAGGAAGAGTATCCGATTCATTCACATTTGTTTTTGGAATTGAAGGGCCGGCCGGAACGTCTGGTGTGTCATCAATCAGTATGTTTCGGAGGCTGGATTTAAGTGAATTACTCTTGTGAATGTACACTAACTTAATTGCCCTTTAGGAACAATTCTTTTTCTTTTTTACTAATTCATTTGCTTGTTTTTGCTTCTGTTTTCCTTAGTAATTTCGTTTTGAATTGGTTTCTTTATTTAGCCATTGATCCAGTATTTATGAAGCTTTCATCGTCTAACAAAAACTCTGCTGGCACAGGGCTTACGGAGTTGAGGAGAATTCAGTTCTTCCCCATCGGGGATGCGGACTCTGGTGGGCATGGAGACAGCTGATTGATCATTGCAGAGACCTGATCCAGTGCGGTTCCTGAGCCACACAGGTGCGCTGGACGTGAGCACTGATCTGGAGATTAGGAAATCCGTAACTCTGAGACACACCTGGCGTGAAAACAGAGTGTTTAAACCTGGCGGTCCTTTCCCTGAGCCCAGCATCCTCCCACAAGGTTTTATCGTGTGATCCATAAAGAGGGAGAAAGGTACGGAGTGAGGGGAATTTGCCACACCTCTGCTCCAAGGACAGGACCTTCTCTCAACATTTCTGAGGGTAATCTCTTCTTCCAGTCTGCTCTGTGTGGACTCTTGTTTTCCCATCTTACCACCTTAACACATGTTACGACCTCTGTGGGGCACACTGTCATTGCTCCTGCAGCACCCCTGTCCTCCCTCCTTTCCGGGGACTCCTCACCCCTGTCACCTCCTGCTAGAATCTTGGGTGCTGATCTTGATTTCAGGGAAATGTGGCCGCACTATTGGAGCAGGCAGCAGTGCCCTTTTCGGGGCGGGAGGGGAGGTTGTATTGTAACAGTCAATGTTGGCAAGCCCTTTGTGCCTAGCTGAAGCATTCTCTTGTTTTGGAAGCACCGCAGAATTCAGAGAAAGGCACATTTGCTGCCATGGAGTAGAACTTCCCAGCTGAATCCAGGGAGAGCGGCCGCATCCCTTCCCATGGATCCTTCTCTCTAAGGAAGGACAAGCATTCACCAGTGAATGCCGCCCCCCGGAGGGAGCCAGGCCCCAAATAAAAGCGGCCTAGCGGGAGTCAGGTCGGAGAAAGACAGAAGCTGGGGTAAGGTGTGGTGGCATTTCTTGAGCCTGGGGGTGCAGCTACAGTTGTCCCTGACTTAATCCTCCACTGCACCCACCCTTTTCTGTTTGCTTTCTGAAGGTAGTTTTAGAACCAAGTTTCTAAACCTAGCAAGCAAGACAGTTCTCACAAGAGATGTACTTCTTCCACTGTGTCTGTTTTCTCTCTCTAGAAATTTGCTAGAAGAACCAGTTACTTAAAGGAACACTAAGTGAATTTTTTTTTTAAGATTTTTAATTTATTAGAGTGCTCGCTTCGGCAGCACATATACTAAGATTTTTAATTTATTAGAGAACTTGTGCACGTGCGTGCGGACGCACGTGAGCACGCACGTGAGCAAGGGGGAGGGGCAGAGGGAGAGGGAGAAGCAGATTCCCCGCTGAGCAGGAGCCTGTCCTGGGGCTAGATCCTGGGATCTCAGTATCTTGACCTGAGCAGAAGGCAGTCGCTTAACCCACTGAGCCACCCAGGCGCCCCAAGTGAATCTTTTGTAAATGGGAAAATATTTTTTTCAAAATATACATGAATTATATGTTTTATATATATTTTTCTATTATGTGTGTATATATGCATACATAACAAAGAACTTTGATAACATCTGAAAACGTTTCCAAGTAGACATTCTTCAGTGTGATTTATTTATGGTTGGATGCATCTAGGAATATATAATAATCTATAGGTCTTCTTTACGTGGCATAGAAATTAAAGAACAAGTTACTTCTATGAAAGAGACATTTTTAAAATTTACCATTGATTTATAAGCTCATTTTATTTTTTAATTTTTAAGCTTCATTCTAGTTTAACATATTCCCAATGTACTGTACATTTGCATCGAACAATAGAGATGGTAAAGATTTTCTGAGCGCTTCTACTATTGTAAAGGAATTAATTACGGCATTCTTGGTTGTTACTGTACTTAAGCATAAGGTAGAGCAGAACATCTTTCAAAATCTGAATACTTCATACATTTTATGGGAAGGAGGTTTAGATCTTTGATACACAAGTGGTGGGGTTGGGGTGCCAAATGCATTACAGAGTCGTAAATATTTTAAAAAACGCAGTAGAAGAAAATCCGTGTCCTCTGCTCTGTATATACTGTGTTGCAGAACAGCTGTACCCCTTGACCTGGCCACAGTCCTGCTCCATAGTTTGTGTAGGTACATGGAAATCGTCCTTCTTGCTATCCTCCAAATGATTTTCTTACAATGGAAGAGATTATTAGGGAAATAATGTCAACGTCAGGGAAGTTAAATTGTTGAGTGATAAACAGAATGTCAGCTTTGGTGCCTTCAGCTTCATTAAATTTACCAAAATACTCTCTTTTAATGTGGAGTACTATATTTAAACATTACTGTTGCTGTTATCAAAAGAAACACCCTAATTGCTAAAACATCCAATTATCTAATCACCTCATTTCAAGGAGACAAAATGAAGATTTTAGTCTATTTCGTATTTGCCAAATGCCTTCCCTTCCTGAGCATCGACTCCTATTTACTGGGATCTCGTTATCAATAACGACTTCAATTATTGGCCTTCCTTGACCTGCCAGTCCTTCATACGCATTGTCTCGTAGAACTTCTGCAACAACGATGAAAGGAAAAATGTATATATATAATAGGTGAAAATTTAGAATTAAAACAATTTTCCCACACCCACACAGATGCAGAGATTATCAGCCCAGGTCCCCCTCATCCCAAAACATCCCCTATGCAAAGACCTATCTTTCCTACACGGTTTCAGCAGTGAGTTAATAAAATACTAGGCTCTCGTTCT